AGAGACGATTAAATTTGTCAAAAATTAAAAATTATTCCAACAATATCTCTACACCACATCACTTGCCCCTTTATTCCGCTTTGTTGAGCGGAAAAAGTAAGTCGATATCATGAACCGTTTTGAAGTTATGAGGGTGACCCATAGTTGTCGGGTCTTGACCCATAATTGAGGGTGATATATATCACCCTCATATATACACACCTGAAGAGTGAAGGAGATTGAAATTAGATGTGGGATGATATTACGAATACTTCATTTTCTTTGCCCCCGAAGTGCACGAGGCGGGACCTTGCTCATCGCTCTCCCGCGTAGCCCTTCTGCTGCTTCTGCTGCTGAGCCCTCGTTCCGGCCGAGCGAATCCGTTCTGAGTGGGCGGGCCGTGGGCGCGGTCAGTGCTGGGGCTGCTCCAGCATGCAGGCGAGGACGAGGTCGGGGGTGGGCGAGGGCGAGGGCTGTTTCTGCGGCGTCTGGGGATTCCCCCTACCCCTAGAGTTACAGAGTGGCCGCGTCGTTGTTTCACTCCTGCTCGTGTGGTTTCTGCATTTGGTGCGCTATTGTTATGAAGACAAAATAATTCATTTAAAAACTTGACACGGGGTTTTTAACATAAGTCTTATGACGAAGTTAAAATACTTTTTGGGTAATATCATCCTAGAAATTAAAAAGCAAAAATATGATTTTTCGCAATAAATTAAACACTAGAGATTTTTTGGGTCTGGTGGCAATTGCCAGAGATCTATGATCTGTATTTGTTATATTTACAATTTAATTCTAGTGAGCAACGTTTTTTTTTCATTATAGAAGATATGAGAATTCTTCCACAATTTTTAAACTCTGCTTTCTGTTTATTTATGTATGTAGTATGTGGCATTTTAAGGACGAATTATTCCGACTTTTGTCAGCTAGCGGTGTCCCCAGGCCTGCGCCTAGTATTTATTATTCACGCATGGGGATAATGGATATATGTGGTGATCATGAGGTATTCCCATCAGCGTATCTAGCCGTATCTATACTTGCCCTGTCTCAGCGTTTCTTCCATCACACAGCTTTCGAAACTAAGAAGATTGTAGTTGAAAGCTTGCTCCGAACGGGAATCGAATACGGTCGCACGACGGAAACCTAGACTTCATGTTTATAATATCACATTAAATTCATTAATATTTCTCATTTCACGTTTTGGTAGTTCAATTCTCTTTTCATACTGAACTTATCGTCATGCTTTTCTTACTCAACGGGATTTCAGTTCTGAAGGATGGCGTATTGTCCGTTTGAAATAGAGCGACGTCTGGCTGGTCATCAGCTGTGGCATGTTTATCCAATCGGGAACTTCAATACCAAATATTTAAATTGTAACTCAGACCCCGATTGAATAATCGTGTCCAGCCGTTAATCTACCAGTCTCTTTAAATCTGGCAATAAAGTTTGTTTAGATCGCTAGCATATACATTTTGTAATTACATAAATACCTCTTTAACGTATTGTCGACAACACACTATTTTAATAACACCATGCCTGCTTTAAAGTTGATGAGTATTTCTGCGTTAGTGATGCAAAAAAATAAGAGACTAGTGGAGGCTGTATTTTAATCTTTTCAAAAAACTACAAACACGTATACGTCTCCTAAAATAGGGTGCTTATTTTACTAGATACTTACTGTATTTGCATTACTAGTGCAAGTTGGAAAATTTCTTTTAATTTTACGAAGGAGTGGTTTACGTTCTTCTTATCGTAACCTGTGTGGAGAGCCATCAGAAAGTGTTCCCTTTTCTTGCTTTCAACAAGCTGGGAAGAACCTCGGAGCCTGTTCTGGTTGCTAACTCGTCACACCGGTACTGTGAGACGCTGGCCGTTCTGTAATCGCTATATAGAAATAAAGGCGGAGTGGTTGAGAAGCAGATGCATAACTACATAATAGTTGTGGTATTTTAATAAGAATCTTAAGAGCTAAGGCTGAGAAGCTGCCTCCTCTTGCTCTATCAACCTAGTGTTTGACCAGTAGTCGGATTTCTAGGCCGCAAATATTGGTGACCTGTACTTCTAGATAATTCGAAACGAAAGTGAATGAAATAACCGTACTGTAATTATGGAGGACAGATTGTACATGATATTTGGATTTAAATGGCTCTTCATTGATTATACTTTTCTTGCGCTCAAACTTTCTTTCATTCATTTATTCATTCATTCATTCATTCATTCACACTGTAGACTTTTTCTTTTATTCGTTAGATTTTTTCTATTTCAATGCGCGCGTATGGGGAAATGTAATGTTTTGGCTGGATTTTGACCTAACGAAACCTATACTAGAAAGTTAACATACTGAAAATTGAACAAAATATGAATTCAAACTGGAAATCCACTTGGAAAAATGGCAAAGATCTGACTTATTGTCTAAACTTCAGGCAATCAATTTAACTTTCCAATAAACCGTGTTTCTCTTCTCTCACCCCATTTTGCGTTTAGCTCTCTAAAATATCACTCACATATCGGTATTATGTTGTGTTTCGGGAACTTGTCAGTCTATTTGTCACTTACATACTCATCTTACATGCCTTCCTACTGTTAATAACGGCTTACCTTCGTTTTATTTTCTTCCCTTCTGAGCTGAATGGATTTATTCTGTTACATCTTTAAATCATTATACTTGTTCATTTTTTTTCGTCGCTGGATATGGAAGTGATTTTTCCCCGCCGGATGGTGTGAACCGGCGCCGACCTGCCCGTCGGCTTGTGGGGTTTCCCCAACCAGGCATCTCCCACCAGCGGGCCACCACCCCAGCTGGGACACGCTCAATGCTCCCGACTGGTCTCCCAACACATGTAAAGGGTGTGTGTAAATAAAGGGGCGAGGATAGATTAAGGAAGAGCAAGGAATACTGAGTCGTTTATTTCCGAAACACGTCAAACACCGAAATCTGAAATTCACATTTCCGACGGATTGTTGTTCCAAGAGGATAGATACATATTCTAGTGCATATTTATATGAAAAATATTAATTTATCGACTGCTTTAATAAATGAAAATATTATGAAATCTGAAAAATTGGGAGACTTGTTCGCAGTTTTCTCGAAATAAGGGATTTGGCTTTTGAGTGTTTTTGAAATAAACGATCGCCCGTTCGTTAGGGTACTGCCCCGCGATTCGCCTAGTGTTGATCGCAGAAACCACGGAAGACTACCGATCAGAGCAGCCTACCGCTAGAATTCTCCTTCAGGCTGCTGCTGAATTCGATCTACCTTTGTAGCCAGTGTCGAAATTCCTGCCACCGCTGGGACTCGAACTCGAGGATCTCTCCGTCAGAGACCCTGCGGTGACATCAATGTTGATGCCCTGAGTGCGAAATGGGAATTTTCTCCAGTGGGCGGCGTTCAGGCTTTAAGAATGGACGATCAAAGAATTGAAAATAAAAAGAATATCACCGTCGCTTACGTAACACAATTCGAATTAATCCTGATCCTCTCTAGAATATTTTCTTGAGCAATTCGTGCCATTTGGTTTCTTCACTTTCAAGGTTTAGGAGTGTGGAAGACTTAAATACTGCGTCAATGGGAATTAGTGTATCCCTGTGGAGGAGAAATTACTGCTCCAGCAGGAGACATTCATTTCTTTAGAAGGGGACGATACCCAGCATCCTTCGTCAGGTCGCACTCTATAGACTGCGGCAACTAAAATCAAGACACTTTTACTTATGTAGTACGTTAATGGTTTAGACGTAGTCCATTGGTGATTTCAGTCATTTCTATTACGCGAGGAAGAGTGTTTACCGTTATCAAATTTGCCAAAATACTTGTTGTGCCTTATCTCTGTTGACTCATTTTAATTTTTTGTAAGAATGGCACAAATGTGCACAAATTGTATTTCTTATCCATATGTCTTATATACTAGTTTAATTTTTTGATGTGAAGTAAATAATTTAACAAAATATAACGCTAAATATATTGTTTACGAAGCTACTGTCAGGTTTAATTCTGTTTTGAAACGGTATAGTAAAAGACACACTCTCTTATAATGTGACTATTGTAGGTTTTGCTATACTTTTGAATTTACATTTATTTCTTTTCTTGAATGTTTGAAATTGTCATCCAAAATAACGTTTCTTTTCCCTCCCTTTATTTTACAATATACCGATAAGTTATAATAATACTTAAGTTTATCTTCATAACAGAGTACACAATGCAGCGACGTTTCGAAATAATTCTCTGCCCGATTCACAGAACTCCTACAACAGACGATCAGAACACAAGACTTCAATAATGTTTATATGATATAAGTAGCATTTAGAAAACAGTCCATTAAAAATGGAATTATGATACGTTCTATCCAATTTCGTTGAATAAGACGTCCTTTTTCCAACCTTGAATGGTATTCACTGGTGGAATGAGTGGTGGAAAGCGAGTGGTATTTTTCGGACCCCGCAGTTTCAAATGTATTTGTTACTCACACTCCACTCAGACCACACCCCCGTTTCAGGTTCCTATCCACACAAAAAAGTCTTTTTACCTTGAACACGCCTTGCCGTCATTCTCTCCACATGTTTCCCCACCCATTTTCCTCTTCCGCCCTCCCCTCCCCTCCCCTCCCCTCTCCCTAATCCATGAAAGCGATGTCCCCAGCCCGTCCCCACCCGCGCAACTGGAAGTCACGTGCGCGAGTCTCGGTGGGTCCTCGGACGCCCCGCGCGGCGTCGCGACGGCGGCGTCACTTCCCCTATTGATCGCGTCGGCGGCGGCGGCGGCGGCGGCGGCGCGGCGGGCGGTTGCGCGCGGCGCGCGCGGACGTCCTCATTACGGGAGGCGGAGAAGTTTGGAACCGACGCGCGCGTGAGTCAGAGCGCGCGCGCGACGCCGGCGCCTATCCCCGCCCCCCTCCCTCCTCCCTGTCCTCGACGCCGTCCTCATCCACGGTCGCGGCGCGCCGCCGGTGCGCCCGCGGCATATATAACGTCCCCGCGCCGCCTGTAATTACGTTCCACGAGGGGAACTTCACAATAAGTTTGCCGGGGCCATGGTTGGAGGATACCTAGCCGCCGGGATTAGTAGAAATGAGTGGGGGGAATAATTTGTAGCCTTTGTAAGTACTCCAAAGCCTTGCTGACGAGTTAAATTAAGACAATGTTACGCTGGCGAACGTCCGAAAAGAAACTATAGTATCTATTCTTTCTTGTATTTCATCCCCATTTTTCTACTTCCTCCTTTTCCTCTTCCTCTACTAAAATATGAGTTCAGTAGTAGAAATTGCTTAAAAGTCAGCGACCTGAATTCAATATTTTAATTGATATCAAGGATTGTGTTTCTATTAATTACTGTTAAATTTATTAGGCTTAACATTCGAGATGCAAAATTGATTATCAAATGTGGCCCTGAAAAACGGTTATCATATCACGAAAGATGAAAAAATGTCTTTATATTAAATTTATATTTCATTTTTTGGCTAAATAATTCTGTATCGTGGTGAAAACATGTTTCGAGAAGTTTATCATACTTCCCGAAACTTGATCACGAAATGTCATTTACAAAAATGAATGTAGAAACGACTGTATGACTATTTAAGTAAACTAATTGAATGAATCTAATTGAAATTAAGAATTGAAATGAATTGTAACCAATTGCAATTAATTATTTGTTGGTTAAGGCAAAAAATAACGGTTGGCAATAGAAGACTCATTGAAAAACTCCAAAACGAATTTTAACCAAAGCTGCCAGAACATTCGATGTAAATGTCTCCCGGTTGCTGAGGACGTCAAAACAACTCTTGTTGTATCCACATCGCAGTTGTACAAGTCTGAGTGGTAGGTCCTTCATCACTGGTCGTGGACGCGCGCCAGCCGGGGCCGTCCCCAACGCCGCCCGCATATCGCGTGTCCAAGGGGCGAGGGCACTTTTTAAAATTGTATCCCCGTGTCGGCCGGCGGCGGAGTCGGCGCCCGTGGCGGGGGCGGTAGGCAGCGAGCTTATTGACGCTTTTATCCTGCGCGCGGGTCCACGGCGCGCGCCTCGCTTCGCTCCGCGCGTGTGTGTGTGTGTGCGCGCGCGCGCGCGCGAGCGGCGCTGGACCCGCGCGCGCCGACGGCCACCGGAGTGACCCGAAGGCGCCCGAAGCGCTAGTTCAGAGGGCTTTCGCGCGAGCGCGCCGCGCTCGGCCCGGCGTGAGCGCCGGCGCGCTGGGGCTTATTCGAGCGAGTGGCAGCGCGGAAGAGGGGTCTTCGTGTGGCGCTGCCGCCGCCCCGCCGTCGCAGCCACCTCTACACAGCGCAGGGTGCACACCCCCGCAGCGCCCGGCGACGCCCACGCCATGCGCCCTTGAGGCGTGCCAAGGCCAGTGTGTTTGCACCTAGTGTTAGCTCCACGGCAAGAGTGATCGGTGCTTTGAGCGAGAGAGACATCCCCTCTCCGACGTGTGTGTTTCGTGCTCTCTTTTCGAGTGTCGTGTGTGTGGTTGTACCCGAGCGTCAAGCTGGAAGCGTCTACGCGGGCTGATCCTGTCGACGTGCTCTCGCCCAAGGATGAGAGGTAAGCCGGAGGTGTTGCGTGCAGGCGCGTGTGTATGTGCGTGGCGCGGCGCGGCGGCCGGGCGCTGAGCAACAGGTTGGTCGCGCGCGGCCGGCGGCGGCGGCTGGAGCCGGGGCCGGTTTGGGAGGCTGGGCGCGACCGGCCCCTGCGTGGCTCTCGGCCGCCGTCGCGACGCCGCAGGTGGCCGCCCGCCCGAGTCCGACGCCGAGCATCGGAGTCGTCTTCGCTGCGGGGCAGTCTGTTTTCCTAATCGATAGTCGGATTGCGAGGGGGCAGGAGTTCATCAGGCTAAATGTCACAGGGCTTTCGCGGAGTCACTAGTGGAACAAGTAAGCGGCCGTTCGTTTGAAAACCGTTGGGTATTCAAAGCTCGTTGGATAGGTGGTGTGTGTTCAGAGCGCATTGTTTTCGTGAGAGTTGTCTGATAGGAATGTACTTGTTTGGATAATATAATCTTTGTTTGTATTTCTACAAATGAACTTCTTGAAGTTAACTTGTGGACGTATAATATAACTTTTCTCGTTTCTATTTTTAGATATTGTTTCCAAGTACATATGTTATTTCTTGATCTTATTGCGGAAGATCTGTTGTACATCACAGAACATTTGTCGACGTAATTACAACTACTAATAATGAATGTGATCTAACATTTAACATGAAGAGATCTATATTATTTTTTTCATTATCCTTTTTTGTTGCTAATCCAAATTTCTGCTGAGTCGAGCTGCGGTATTGCCGCCACTCGATTCGCATCGCCGTCTTTTGTCAGGTACCTTCGTTAATGTTTATGCCGGGAGATTGGGCACGGCAACGGGCATCGTGAACATTTCCTCCGAGCGCTTGTCATTTTAAATCGCCATTACCGACGGTGACAGATGAGAGCGAGCGCGCGCATGGCGGGGGTGCCGCTTCGTGCGCGGGTCTCAACAGGGCTGCCCTGTCACTCGCCGCGTTAAACACGGGGGCACAGGTGTTCAGGCCAAAATTCATTCAAGACGGTTAATATTGATGCAATATTGGATATATAGTAAGGGCAGCAGATTTTCGGGGACTGGAGAGACCCCCATGGTAGTAGGTAGTCTTTCATGTCCCGATTCTATGAGTATTAATATTTTTGGCACATTGTTTTTATCGTTGGGAACGTTTTTATTTCGAATTATTGGAAGGAGATATTGAAATGTTTACCAAACTGAATTACATAAGTATATAAACATTGATCGAAGTACATACCTACTTCATTACATCAGAGATAATTATCAATTAGCTATTGCCATTTCGTCATATTTGTATTTACTTAAAACATACGGCCTCAAAAGTCTTGAGTGGGGATCTTTTACTAGAAGGATTTTAAGTGTCTTTGACACGGATGTGATCGTCTTGCAGCGGGTAGCCCTACGTGCGCATTCCAGGGGGTGGGGTATGTTTTAATTCAAACGCACACTTTTTTTCATGTAGTACGTTCATCAAACATGCCTTTTCAGCGATACTGAATTTCAAATCTTGAATCATTGCCTACATCCCACCCCAGGGCCTACATATCGGTGACAGCTGTCAGAAAAATCGCCGTGCCACCAAATGGTCTCCTTTGCGCGAATTCCTCATCCATCCGCGTGGCCGCCCGCCAGCCAGCTCCTTCGCCGCTCGCTCGCTCGCTGTTTCGTTCGCGCCGCCTGCGTTCGCCCGGCCGCCGCCTTCCTTCGCCTGCGTTCGCCGCCGCCGCCGCCTTCCTTCGCCTGCGTTCGCCACCGCCGCCTTCCTTCGCCTGCGTTCGCCGCCGCCGCCGCCTCCTTTCGCCTGGCGTTCGCCGCCGCCGCCGCCTTCCTTCGCCTGCGTTCGCCGCCGCCGCCGCCTTCCTTCGCCTGCGTTCGCCGCCGCCGCCGCCTTCCTTCGCCTGCGTTCGCCGCCTTCCTTCGCCTGCGTTCGCCGCCGCCGCCGCTGACTGCGCGCGGCGGGCAGCCATTCATTCCACGTCTCGCGGCGCGCCGCCTCACGAAGGGCGCGCCAGCGCCGCGCGCCGCAGCAGGAACTTTCCATTCGCTCGACTGCGCGGCGGCCGCGACCGGCAACGGCGCGGCGTGCGGCGCGTAGAAAGTGGCCGGACCGCGCGCCGCCCCGCCGGGCCCGCGGCATTCCGAGCAGTTTAGCACTGGTTAAGCGGGAACATATGCGCCGGAGCGACCGCCCGCCGGAGCCCTCGGGGCGAAGCGATATCGATCAAGGAAGGAAGGGCGTGGGTGGGGAAGAGATGCACGTGATCGCCGGTTTTCGTTTTTGGTAACCTTTTGTTTCGCTAGTTTGCGCCTCGTCAAAACTAGGTGGGTTTAGTTGCGTTCTAGATTTCGCGGTAAAGATGGTTTTATAAAACATTCCATTTCACTTTTCATTCCTATCACCAACCAAATGTGTGTTCAACATCGGGTTACTGGATACAAAATTGCACATATTCTTTTGTAGTGTAGCTTCGATATTTATCTCCAAATGAGTTATTGTCTTTGATCTTGTACATGTGTGGTTATTTTGAACCAAACTGCATTCTTTTCTATAGCTGATCCCCATTCACTTTCAGTTACAACTGATCTGATTTGCACTGAGACAACACTTCGATATTTCTTCAGACAGAGGGACGGGGACTTGGGATTAAAATACATCCTGGAAAGAATATACTATTTTTTTTAAATTGTGACATTCATTTGTGTCGTCTCAAAATCTTATGAAGAAAAATTTCGTTTATGTTATTAATAATTGTGCATTTCTTTTACAACGCCTTACAATGACACAGACCGACACAACAGCATTTTCACCCAACTTGCACGCGTTATCAATGTTAGAATTTTTTTTGTTTTTGTTTTTCTAATGTTAGTGATTTTGTTCTTCGAATATGAAACACGTTTAAGCTCGCTTCATGTCATAACTGCTGCGAATTCAGTAAAACTAAAATGTGAATTGTGCATATACCAAGAATGTCAAATGTACAGTCGGACTGCTGCTATTTATTTGATTCAATGCTCTCTTCGATAGAAACGTTCCTTCTTCGTTGCCGGTAGGCTGCCTTGCAGACGCTACCTGCCCAGCCCCAACGTTCCCTTCCGTTCCCTCCCCTTTCTAATTCTCTCTCTCTCGCTCCGTCGCCGAGGTGTGTGCTAAGCTTTTGCGCCCTTCGCGCGCTCCCAGCCCGCGTATTTGCTTCCGTCCGTGCCCCTCGGTGCCAGCGCTGAACCTGAGATGGCACTCACGGGTCTCTGGCGCCGCCGCGCCTGCACCCGCACTTCGTTGGGGAAACAGCGCGTCGCCCCGGCGCTGGGGCAGAGTGCTCACCGGCTCCGCACCCTCGCCCGCCCGACGGGGAACGGCTTCGACAGGCAGAGGAGTCGAATAGTTGGAAAGAAGCGTTCCATCATCATACATCGTGTAGTAATGTTTGCGACGCTCGGTATTAATTTCCTGTCGAGGAGGGAAGTTACTCAATAGAATGGGAGTGTACATTCTTATACTACAACCTTATAGGCTAGAGAGAGGGTGTCGTATGTTTTATTAATCCAGAATTAAAACAGTGTTAATAACTAAATAGTATAAATTGTTTAAACTGCATTAAGACGTGGCTGATTTTAAGCCAAGCTTTTTCTTATAGCTAAGGATTTTTCAAAACATTATTTTTAATGATTGATTTAATTGTTTTTCATTCACCCAACATGCATGCTGCAGTCACATTATGTACAAAGCATTTATACGAATTTAATGATGTTAAATTATTCATTACATTCTCTCCCCTTACAATGTTTGCAACACTGCTGAACTGCTTTCGACCATATTGAAGCGTGTTTCTTTCAGTGTTAGCCTGAACGCCCAATTCTCTCTTCCAAGGCATGGCGACGCGCCAGTCAATCACACCTCTCCATTATTAAACTTATTTCTCAAGTGATTCACTTCTTCAGAATTCATGAGATCAAGCGGATGCATCAACCCGGGATATGCGACTTTTTATGGACCTCCATGTCCATTAACAGATGGGTTAAGATTACGTCGTGCGATATGGATTTTCTAGTGTTTACCAAACCGGCTTATCATATCCGTCATTGTGTCCTTCTGTGAACACTTTTGTTCCGATATCAATTCGAAGTTACGATGCTTTGGATTAGAGTTAAATCTTGAGGTTGCTTGGGTTATCTAAGTTATAAACAACATTGGATTTGGACTGCCATTAGCACAGACAGTCCGGCTTACTAGCGTTAAAGGCCTCTTATGAGACGTAGATTCTATACTAATCAGTGCAGATTAGAGTACAGAAATTAATAAATATATATAAATTAATGCACGCACAAAATTAATTTGTCATTTCACGACAATCGAGAAATTTAGTATCGGTTTTAAAGTGTTTGTAAAAGAAATAAGTGTACCGCCAGTATGTATTAAAGGTACAAAACAAAAAAAAATATTTAAAACTGTGAATAAGAGAATCGCTGCGAAATGTGTGGTCAGTTGACGCTGACGTCCGGAGGCCATCGTTCGTGGTGCTACGAGTACAACAAAAGCGCACAATAAGGAGAAGCTGAAGGAGTCCTGAGGAGGAGGCGGCCAGCGAGCGCTGCGCGTGCGCGCGTGGTGACGTCAGCGTGCGCTGGGGCTGCAGGCCCGTGACGGCCGCTGACGTAACCGGCCGTGCGCGGCGTGCGGTTTCGCGCCTGAGCGGACCCTGCGCGCGCACGCGTGCTCGCCTGCGCGCGTGCACACGGCGGACTGTGAAGACGTGGCCTCCGGGAGGCGAGCGCAACGTAGGAGTGTTCGTGTGTGTGTGTGTGTGTGTGCATGTGTGTGCGTGTATGTGCGTACGGTGTGTTGTGTTCTGATGTGGATATGTTGTGTCTATGATAAGCTTCGGTGTGTATTTGTGTTCGTAGGCGTGGGCAGCATGCGTTTGTGACTGTGTGTACAGGCGGATATTTGTGTGTGTGTTTTCGCGTGCGGAGTGAGGCACTGCGTTGTTATTGAATGATATTCACTTCTGTTAAGTTTCGACATATAATTAATAGTTTCTTTAACATATGTAAAAGATGAGTTGAATGCAATAATTTTATAACGAGATGTTTTCGAAGACTTGGATCATTGTTTCTATTTGAAGTATTTCAGCCGTAACTGTGCATTACAAGAAGATTTTCTTGGCGATTTGACAAATGGCAAAATGCCACTTTGCCAAACGTCATACGTATACGTTTTGTTTAGGAATTTCTTGGGGACATCGTTTTATCATAGCATACTAGTTCATTTCTATGAAAATTCTTTGACAATATCGTAGATATAATAAGTTACCCAAATGGGTTCTATTTCTTTGGCCAAGAAATAATTTTTAAAAAAATTGTAATTTTGTGTACCCACTGAGTGGGAATGGCGAAAATGTTTTTGCAGAGATTGCGCAATTAAATTACAGAACGGCAGTGGAATATTCTTGAAATGCGCATTTTGCGCAATTCAGATGCGCGATGTTGTTCAGCCTTCTCGTGAATGATGTGTTCGACCTTGATTACTGCCCTGCTAGCTCAGCAAAACAAATGCCACGGTAAGGCTGCCGCGCGTTTGTCGCCTCAGTGCGGCTGCTCAGATTACGTTGCGTCTGCCGAACACGCGACTGCACGCAGGGCGCGCCGATTAGCTCACGCGCACGTGGAGTTGCAGGTCATTCGATCCTCCCAAGGGACCGTTGTCGGCGACGGATCCTCCTAGCTCACGGCACGCTCTTCGGACAGTGAGCGAGGCACGAGTGCGAAGGGCGGCAAATTTCTCACGGATGAGACATCGGCACAGGTCTTACACACACTTGTGCATCTCCTCCATCGAAAAGTATTACATTCTATATCTGACAATCGATGGACGTTTCGTGTTCAGGTATCCATTAGCGAGAGGGTCCTATGCTCCTAATACCGGCCTGAACTCGCTCCGTCTGATGCTGTTTCCAAGGGAGGGG